AGCCTTCATGCTTCAGGCTGGCCCCTATCAGAATCCCAGCAACGGGGGGCTTAAACATCACAGATCAAAACTCTTTTTCCACTGTCACTGGCTGGGGTGAATTGCTAGGTGCAGGCAGGACTCCAGCACTCAGCATCTTCAGCCATCAACAGCAAGTGCTGGCTGGTCAGAAACTTACAGCTCTGCCTTGCACTCAAGACAGCACCACCCAGAGCTGGTATTTACAGACTCAGAAAGTTCAGGCTATGGTGTGACGGCAGCTGGAGGCTTGTGGTCATTTTGCTCCTCTTTGGTCTCTTCTCCAGGAGCAGAGGGAGCCAGAGGACAGTCTGCTGTTGGTTCTGTGCTCTGTGGACAGATGGTAGTGTTAGGGACAGACAGCTACCTATCATTTATAACATTTCTATTCAGCTCTACTAAGCACAAATCATCAACTTTGCTAGCAATGGGATTCTAAGTCACTCCAACTAAACTAAAATGGGTTAATTCAGCTGTACTGCAAATTGTTCTGAATTAGATATTCCACCCTGGCTACTATCAAGAAGCAATGTTCTCTCTGCAAAACTGGTCCTTTAGTTCTTTTAAAGCTCTGAAATGGAAAATGAGGCAATAGCCAGCGATGCCTTTGCTATTGCTGCTGCAGACATGGAAATGGATTTCCTTTCAGCCTACTCAGCTGGCCATCTACACTCTACTGCCAGAGGCCAAGCTCACAGGTCGCTCTACAATTCTTAAACACCAGGAACATCAAATGTTTACCAAGAAGGTAAACCAGAGGGAAATAGCTGGAATATGTTTAATTTTGACCATTCTTTAAGTTACCAAGCAGGACTCAATCCCCACTGCCAGCTCAGTGTGAGAAAAGAAGCATTACTCTTTTTCAGTGCTGGGTGCAAGGGAAATCACTTTTGCATACCCATGTGTTTGTATCCATGGAACTAAGACACAGTCATTGCTTTGCTCAAACTCACATGCTAATATCCTACTGCTCTCACTCCCAGGAAGTTGCCCGAGTAGCTGCAGTCCACTGGAGGGAGAAGGGATTTGCAAGGACGAAAGATAAAAGGCAAAGGAGGCTTCTTCTTCCCAGGACCGTGTCCCTCAGTTTAATCCCAGAATGGTTCCAGATGAGGAAAAGGACCAAGAAAAGCTCGCAGCGAGCTTTTGATCAGAGAGAAAGGGGGGCGGGGAAAGGCAGGTTACTGTCTCGTTACGGACTTCGTGGTTAGGTTCTTTTTCCCTTTGAACTGAAGATTGATGAGAGAGAGAGGCAGTTTTTTCTTATTCGGTCTCAGTTGTTTATTCTTTTCTTATCAGCATTACAAGGTACAAGGAGCTATGTGCACTATGATAGAAAGGATTAAAATGGCTAAGAAAGATCCTTTTCAAGGTCTTTTATATGTCCATTTACCCAATTAACAGATGCCAACTAAATTATTTTTCTTAGTGACCCAATGACCCAACACCTGCACGCTGCACTGCAGCATTCTTTATCCAATCACTTACTACTACCCAAAAACCTCTAGGAGAAGAACATGAAGAAGAAAGAAGGACAAGAGACAACACCCTAAATCCTCCATCTTGTCTCCTGTTTTCTAAACTAGCTTTTTCACCCAGTGATTTAAGAAACTTTCTAATCTACACACACTTTTTCCATCTAACTTTAACATTTGTTCTCATGTATCAGCATGAAAACATGCTCATGAATTTCATGTTATATGAAATTCAGTGTTTCTTTGGATCTTAGAACTAAGTATTAGAAACAAGGGCACACACTCTGTATCTCAGACTCCAACGGGTTGCAGCCAATGGGGAAAAACCAGAGGGGAGAAGTGAGGGGGAAGGAACCAACACAACCACAGCTCAGACTGGGGATAGCAGGGAGAAACTGTGTAACATAATGCAATACAACACTGACAGGGTAAACATTCCCACAAAATATTTGACATATTTAAATCACTTTCCCAAAATTATTGGTATTTAGACTAGGGGATCTGTTGAGGCTCTTTGGTGGTCATTTGGTGAACATCCCTTTTCTCAAATTCTCTTCCTATGGTGAAGAGCCTACTAAAGCCACCTTCATTTCCTTGAATGCATTCCAGCCGTCTTCTTAGCAGGCCTACTCTCTTTATTCTCAAGGCTAGGATATCCACTGGTACACATTAATCACTGGTGTGAGGGAATGCAGGACTAAGTATTGTCTGTCAAAGTTTAAGGAATTCCCAATTTTTTGCAGGTAAACATTTTTCCAGAATCTCTTGTTCCTTCTCTGGGAACTAAACACAAGTATTTTGTGATCACTGAGCCCAAGGCTGCCTCCAATCCTCCTGTCACCCAGCAGCTCTTCTTTCTTCACAAACACAGGTCCAGCGGTGCCTTCCCTTATTGGCTCAGTCACCAGCTGTGTCAGAAGTTCTCTTTCACACACTCCAGGAACATCCTGGGCTGTTTGCTCTCTGCCACACTGCCGTGGTGACGGAAAGGCCGGAGCGCCACGACTTCTCTGGAGAAGCAGCCCTGAAAAGGGCTGGGCCGAAGCACGTGTGAGTGGCTTCGGGCAGGTGAGTGATTCCAGCTCGGCTCAGCGGCGGCGGGCAGGCGACACGGGAAGAAGGGACAAGAAAGCTGGTCCAGTGTTCCGCCAAGCACAATCCTTTATTCAGGCAGAGCTTTGGCGAAGAGAGCCAGCAACAGCTATTCTCTTGAACAGGGGAAAGGTCAGGATATTTATAGAGGAGGAGAGGGGAGGGGGGAGCCCGAGATACATGTATCGGGGTGGACCACAGGGGGAAACGCCAATGGAGCACAACAGTTTAACTTAACTAACTCAAAGACCCCTGGGAGAGATACATTTTCTCTCTCGGAGTGCAAGGTGTCTTGCCTCCAGGGGAGACCCAGGATCGAGGAGCCAGCGGGTTCCCCGGCCCCCACAGCTCCCCTTTCTTTACTTATTAAAAGGGCATCTCGCAGAGATTTGGCTAATAACTTGACACATGAAAACATACATAGGAAAATAATACTCAAGAAAATTTAAAAATGTTTTTGAGGAGGGAGGCAACCTATCCTTTGAGTCCCTAGCTCCCAAAAAGGTCCTCAAGCCACTGGGGCTCCTTTTCAGTCTGGAGTTCCTGGACCGCGTGTTGGAGTCTCTGGATGCGGGCGTGGATGCCTTCACTGGGGCTGGAGAGGTCAAAGCAGCACTGTCCGTTAAATTCCTCGCAGCCGTGTCCATGGGCCAGGAGCAAAAAGTCTAGAGGGTTGGTGGTGCTGCCCATGGACAAGCACACATGGTCTTGTTTGAGCGTCTTTGTGAGGGTGATCCACACGTTCTCCTGGGGCTGTGCTACTAGCCAGGCATCCACAGCTGATGTTTTCAGGAGCATCCAGATTGTTAGGAACGTCAGGAACTTAAGGATGGTTTTGCTCTCCATTTTCTATAACAGGACATAAAAGATTAGCTCTGATTTTTGGAGGGGGTGGGGGCTATTTTCTTTTTCCCCTTCCTCTCCCGTCTCCCCCTCTTTAAAAAAAAACAATTATAAGCAAGGTTATTCTGTGTATTGGGGACACATGACCCAACACCAGCAGCAGCACAGAGGTGCATTTTGGTGTAAACTGGCAATTTGGGCTAGGCAACGAGAGTGAGAAAGGGAAGGGGAAGGGAGTTAAGAAGACTTGTGTACTGTCACGGTGTCAGGCATGATGTTGGCTGTCGTCTCATTGCGGCCCTGGTAGCAGGACGGTTTGGCCTCTGTCTGGTTGTTGGTCTGGTGGCAGGTCGGTTCGGTGGACTCTGATGATGTCTCCGTTTCCAGGCTGCGGTGGACTGCTGTTTTTCTGGACCTGTGTGGGTCTCAGGAGACTTTGAAATTTCTGAGTCTGGTGCAGGGTTTGTAGGACCTAAATAAGGTTTTACATTTTTCCCTGGGAGCCACTTAGGTCCTGATGGTGTGGACACACATGCATACCCTCTCCCCCAGGTAATCAACGGGAAAAGTCCTGATGTCTGTTGCGATTCAGGATCCTTGATCAGCACTGGCGGCTTCTCCGTGAGTTTGGCATGAGTTGAATTAGAGAAGTGCCGTATTACAGCGGGGTCAGGCTCTGTAGACGAGCAATTTAGAAAGTTCATGACATATAGAGCCTTACAGAGCCTCTCAATGGGAGGAATGATCTCTGTTCCTCCCCGCTGGTGATCAAGGACTCTTTTTAGGTTTTGGTGGGTTCTCTCTACTATTGATTGCCCTGTGGGGGAATGAGGAATGCCCATGGTGTGTTTCACTCCCCACTCATTGAAAAAGTCTCTTAATTTGTGAGAGGTGTAAGCAGGTCCATTGTCTGTTTTAATTTGTTCTGGGACTCCCAGGGTAGCAAAAGCAAGGAGAAAATGTCGGATGGTGTGCTTGGCATTTTCTCCTGCATGGGCTGAGGCAAACACTGCACCAGAGAAGGTGTCTACGGAGACATGTACGTATTTGGCTCTCCTGAAGGACAGGACGTGAGTCACATCGGTTTGCCATATCTGGCAGCTGTTCCGTCCTCGGGGGTTAACCCCGGAGTTAACGACCGATATTTGGAAAGACTGACAATTAGGACAGGTGGCAACTATTGCTCTAGCCTGGTCTCTGGGTAGTCTGAACATTCTCATCAGTGCAGGCACATTTTGGTGGAAGAACTGGTGGGACAATTTTGCTTGTGTGAAAATGTCAGGGATATTGGCTGCTCCAGCAGGCATGGCTAAGGCGTCTGCCCTCCTGTTTCCTTCGGCAAGGGCACCTGGGAGGTCAGTATGTCCCCACACATGCATGACATAGTAAGGTTGCTTTCTGTGAGAGATAAGATATACTAATTCAGAAAGCAATTGGTATAAATTTGGGTTAGAGACCTCTTTTAGAAATGCATGTTCTGCTCTCATAGCTATTCCAGCCACATAAGCCGAATCAGTCACCAGATTGAAAGGTTCTTGGAATTTCTCAAAAGCTCTGACAACGGCTGCTAATTCAGAAATCCTCAGCCACTTGGACATCAGACTCCCATTTCTGTGTCCTGGGGTCCTTCCAAGTCATGACCGACTTGTGGGATTTCCCCGAGCCATCTGTGAAAACCGTCAGAGCCTTGAGCGGTGTTTTGCTCTGTAATGATTTGGGGACCAAATTAAATGTAGTTTTGAAAAGTCTGTGGCCAGGTGGGTGTATAGAAATTTGGCCTGAATAGCTATCGAGAGCGAACTGAAGGCTCTCATTGGTTTGGAGCAAAGGCCCCAAACTTCCAGTTGCCAATGGGAGGAAGATGCAGGTGAACTCACAGGCTGCAAGAGTGCGGAGACAGACTCTAGCTCTTTTAATGAGTTCAGCCATGATTTCCTGTGGAGTGGTAATAGTCTTAGTGGGCTGGTTATGTGTCAAGATCCACTCGATGATAAGGAGTGGATCCTTCAATGCCATGTCCCATTGAAAAATGAGCGCCTGTAAGTGCAGGGCCTCACCCAGGATAACCAGTTGGAAGGGCAGGCTGGGCTCATAGCGGTGGGCTTGCCGTGAAGACAGGGCCTCCTGGACCTCGGTGATGGATTCCCGGGCCTCCAGCATGAGGGAGCGTGGTGAATCGAGGGCCTCGCTGCCACAGAGCAGGTTGAAGAGGGGCGCAAGGACTTCTGTTGTTAACCCAAGCAGAGGGCGTATCCAGCTGATGGGCCCGCAGAGCTGATGTAAGTCCCGCAGGGTCTTGGGGTCGTCTTTGATGGTCAGCTGCTGGGGCACGATGGTCTGTTCATGGATCTGGAGTCCTAGGTAGGTCCAAGGGCAGGTGTGCTGAATCTTGTCTTCACGTATCTCAAATCCAGCATCTTCAATTGTCTGGATAGTTTTTTGTAAAGACCGGTGCAGATAGTCATCGTCAGCAGCACAAACCAGGATGTCATCCATGTAATGGAGGATGATGGCATCTGGGAACCGGGTCCTCACAGGTGACAGAATGTGGGCCACGTACCATTGGCAGATGGTAGGACAATTTTTCATCCCTTGGGGAAGGACCAGCCAATGGTATCTTTTTAAAGGTGCTTGTCTGTTTGGAGAGGGAACCGAGAATGCAAATCTGGGGGCATCTCGAGGGTGGAGGGGTATGTTGAAAAAACAGCCCTTGATGTCAATGACAGCCAGCTTCCAATCCCGGGGGAGCATAGAAGGGGAGGACATGCCAGGCTGAAGGGATCCCATGTCCTCAATGACATCGTTGATCTTCAGGAGGTCATGAAGGAGTCTCCACCTGTCCTTGCCTGGTTTGCGTAGGACAAAGACAGGGGAGTTCCAAGGGCTGTTGGACTCAGTGATGTGGCCCTTGGCAAGCTGCTCTTCCACAAGGGCTTCCAGTGCGCGCAGTTTGGTCTCAGATAGGGGCCACTGATCAACCCACACTGGATGGTGCTGTTTCCAGGCGAGTTGGGGGATGGTAGGCATGGCGCGCTTCTCAGTGACCCCCACTAAAAATCCCTGCTGGGAATCCACAGAGAAGCCCCCCATTGGGACAGGAGATCCCGTCCCCAGAGGGTGATTGGTGCTCTCACCACAAATGGCCTGATGGTTGCCATTTGTCCCTCAGGTCCTTTAATGACAATATTCCGTTTGCTCCTCATGGAAGCTGTCATCCCTCCAATTCCTGAAATCATGCCTGCCACAGGTTGTAATTCCCAATTGTCTGGCCACTTAGAGCGGGCGATGATGGTAACATCTGCTCCAGTGTCTAGCATTCCTGGGCGCTGAATCCTTTCACCATAACAAAATAGGCTGCAGTCCACGATGGGTTTGCTGAAGCCCACAACCTGAGTCCACATAGCACTGGGGTTGAGGGGAACATGATCTGGGCAGTCACTAGGAAGTAAAAAGGCCTGTGCCACAGGAGTCTGTTCCTTTAAATAATAAGGAGAGTCTATGCAGGTCAGAGAGATGGAAATTTCATCTCCAGGGTATATAGTCTGAACCTCAGGAACAGTATGAATTTGCCCTGGAAAGTTGGTTGGATCCCCAAGCATTAAGATGTTGGAGGGACTGCCTGGTGGTCCATGTTTCCCTGTGGGGATTTTGTAAATACAGTCACCCTCCATATGTAAAGAGAGTCTAGTTACCAGTTGACACCAGGTTCCCATCTGAAGCGCTCCACCTGTTGGGCTTGATATCGGGGTCCCCGTGGAGGCAGGGTGGTGGGTTTGGCAGGAGGGGTGGAGCGGTGCGGCATTTGATTTGATGTCAAAGCGCAGGGCCGTTCCGCGCTCTGCTTGAAGTTTCCCGAACGCCTGTTTTGTCTGGGTAACCATTGGTGGGCTGGCGGTTGTATAGAATGTCTCCCTGGACAGTCTTTGAAAAAATGTCCAGGCTCGCCACAATTAAAACAACGATTTTTATTGGGGTCTGCAGCATAAGCTCCAGATATCCCCTCTGCCACTCTTTTAGCCACTGCAAGTGCCACTGTATTCTCACTTGAGGCAGAGGACTGTTTGGTGCAGGCTTCAACCATCTGATCTATGGTTAGTTCGGGGTCAAATGGGAGGGCTTGCAAAACTGCTTTGCACTCCGGATTAGCATTGGCCATTGCTATTTTTACTAATAATTCTTTTTGCACCTGAGGGCTTTCTATCTTCTTTTCCATGGCCATTTTTAACTTATCAATATACTTAATAAAAGACTCAGTTGCCCCTTGCTTAATATTGGTGAAGCACTGTGTTGGCACTTTATCATCAGGGGTGGTAAAAAGAGATATCTTAGCAGCATTAGCTATATCCTGTAAAGCTGCTTCAGGCAGATCCCGGGCCTGATCTCGGGGCTTTTGGAAATCTTCTTCTCCTGCTAATTGTTCTAAAGTAAAATTAGGTTTGTTAGCATCTTTAGCATAAACATCTGCCAATTGCTTTAAATGTTTTTTCCACTGCCTCTCCCATAACATGTACTCTGCTGGGGAGAGGAGGCAGTTCATGATATTCTTGATGTCATGCGGGACCATGACGTGGGCAGAGGAGGCTTCCAGCAAGAGTTTAAAAAAATGTGAACCCCTGCCATGTTCCTCAGCAGCTTTACAAAGTTCCTGCAGTTCCCTATAGTGGAGGGATTCCCATGTGGCAACCTGTGCCCCTGCCCTGTCTCTCCTTATTACAGGAAAGGCAAGTATTTTCAGGGACAGAGCTGAATTCCCCACTCGTGTGGCTTCCCTCTGCACCTCAGCCCAGTGGTGTGCATGGGTCAGCTCTAGAAGTGACTTGTCCAGTCTGTGCTCAGAAGACACATCCTTGTTGGACACAAACCACCGGTGGATAAACTTCACAATGGTTGGCACCTGGAGGAGATACAGAGAAGGAGACTGATTTGCTGCCAGAGTGAGCCATATGCACAGCTTCTGAAGAGAATTGCTTTGTTCCCTACCATGCTGTGCTGGCCTAAGGAGCTTTTGGGTGTCCGTGTGACCTGTCTTGTGAGAGCATACAATCCCCAGAGGCTCAAGACCTGGCCATAGCTACTTACATGCTTCAGATTGGAGGTTTCTGTCTGTGCAAGCAAATCCAGCACAGCAGCACAAGCCTCAGCAATATAGGAGTCACAGCGCACCATGCTGTCAATGGCTGCAACGGTGATCTCTTCCTGTTCATTGTTCTTTACAAATTTCCAAAAATCTGCAGAAGGAAAAGCCAAGAAGAGAGAGTCGTCCATCGAGCACCACAAAGGTGGTGCTCAGCTGTGCCGCAGGAGCATGTCCAGCCCAGGCAGGGATAGCTGTGTTTACCTGAGCTCTATGCCTGAAATGCTTTTGGGCCCTCTTCTGGTCTTCTGTCAGGTCCTCAGCTGGATCTGGCAAAGACCAGGCAAAGTCAAAGCAGAGGGTCTGTGGGAAAGAAAGGCTGGAGAATGCAGCTGAGACTCCCTGGAACCATGCTCCCCAGGCAGGCCCAGCACAGGGAGGCTCAGTGAATGGAGCACAACTGCCACAGGGCATCAGCCCATCCCCTCTTCCCCTCTTTCCCTGGGGATGTCCACAGGGGATGGGATGGGGCCAAGATGGCTGCTGAGCCCTGAGACCCAGCTCTGCCACTCACTTGCCCACATAGGCTGGAACTTCTCCATCTCTTCAGAAGGCCATTTTAGGGCAGCCCCAGGGCCTTCCTCCTCCTTCACCCGGGCCTGCCCAGGAACACTGGAGGGTCCCCTCTGCCATTCTGCTGTCTGGCCTTGAAGGCTCTGGACACAGGGGCAGGAGATATCTACAGAAAACACAAGGTCAGCAAGGAGGAATGTGGCTGCTTGAGGGATTCTCACTGTGTCCTGTGCTGTTTCATCATGTGTCGGTCCTGTCACATCCTTCAGGCACTGTGGGTGTTGCTGCCAGCACCCATTTCATGGTGGGTCACAAAAGGCCCTGTGACACACTGCCACGTGACATCCCATCAGCAGCATCTATGTCACAGCATGTCACAAAGGGCCCTGAAACCACATATGCCCCGGTGCCACAGCCCCATCCCCTCAGTGCCTCCCAGTAGCCCAGTTTTCAGGGTCACCCATCATTTTTGGTCTCTTTAGTAATGGTGGAGATGTTTTATATGTTCACTGAAGAGCTATCAAATGAGTAATAGTATTTCTAAAGAAGTTAGTGTTGATTTCAGTCCTAAGGAATATGTTGTTTACTTGAAAACAGGTTTATAAGACTGTGCATGCAAGATGGTTTTATGTTTAGATTATGGAGAAGATAATATCAGAACCATGATGTCTGTGTGAACCATATAGTTTCCAGACAGAGTGGAAGAAGATGTGTTTGGAAATCAAACACTCCACAAGGCAGGTTAGAAAACCCTGAGTTTGCTGCAGTTGTGATGAGACCTCCCCAGGTGGACACACAGCTGTGCTGGGCTCCCAATGAAAACTGGCTTTGATTCACACAACAAAGAGAACAAATCCAAACCTTTCCAAAGAGACAGAGAAATCTTACTGTAACAGAGAAAATAATTGAATGAACACTATAGACAAGCTCTCTGGGATAGATGCTATGAGTCAGAAAACAAAAAGCTGCACACTCCAGTCTAAACAGGGAATAACTGTTGTTAGTTCAAGGTATTGATGTTAATAAATAAAACAGATTTAAAGGAATTAAACTATCCAGAATGAAAGTGATTTCAGGTTTGAATTTTGAAAACTATTGTGTTGATTTCAGACCAGAGGAAGATAACAACTCCATCATCCACCCTTTATTTTTCCAACTCTTTCAAATGGTGTTATAAAACTTTTATCTTTATCCTTACTCTTTCATGGTCAGACAAAGATTTACTACAAAAACATCAGTTTACACAAGCAAGCATGTTCCCTTTTCCACTACTTGAGAATGGTTTTTGTTTTCCACTCGGTTCAGAATTAAAAACAGATTGGCCATGTGGTAGAGAGCTGAGCCTTTGTGAGAGCCCAGCAACCACAGACCCCTGCTTTTCATGGTAAGATGGCTCATGCCCCTCCTTTCTCAAAGCATTTTCACCTCTTTCTCCTTGCAATGGTATATCCTGTTGTTTGTGCAGCACAAATACAATTAAGATCTAAATCTCAGAATTAAACAATCAGCCTTGCATTCTAGTTTACCTAAAACAGACACATTTGATTGCAATTTCCATCATTTGCTATGCTGTGTGAAAAGAAAAATATTACATTCTGTCATCAAAATAGTTTTGTCCAGTAAATTTGCCTAATTCTAAAACAACATCATGGCTCTGACCTTAACCGTGGTAATTTTGCATGTTGGCTTTACAGAAGCACATACTTCTCAGCTGGTGTCAGGGAGTGCTGAGTGTGCCCCAGACCTCATCAAATCTATGGAGTTTGATTGCTGGAGTACAGTATTTTAACAAACATTTCCAAAGCCCATATCTGTTGCCATAAACAGCAGCAGGTCAGAGGAAATGGCTTGTGTCCCCTTTCACCTGTTAATCTCCATGTACCGAAATACCCTGAAAATTTTGACTGTATTCATCAGCAGACAGGAGATACTATTTGGCTGATTCAGTACTGACTGTAATACCATATCTAGCTGTGGAGACAACCTAACTGTGGGTATTTAGTGGGTGTTTGGTAAAGGACAAAGAGTGGCCGGACCCAGGGGGGGAAGGGGGCAGGAAAGGAGGGTGGGGACAGTTTTTGGTTGGCTTTCTTCGGCTTCGGGAAAAAGACGTTTTCGTTTTTGCTGGGTCGTGGAGCCGCTGCGGTGGGGAGAAGGGAATTTTCGCCATCACCCAGACGGAGCTGCTGCTGCTTCTCCTTCTTCCCTCTTTGTTGATGGCCTCACACCCCCTGTTCTACCGGGACGTGTGGCAGTGCCAGGCACTGCCGTGGAGCTGCTGATACACCTCAGCCACCAGCCCAGGATCTCAACTCATCCCTGCTGTTCCAGCCGACTGTTCCTCGGAGCCCCGCAGGAGCACCAGGACTGCCCGCCCGAG